AAGTCAAGGCCTTCTCACCTCCTTACACCACCCCACCAGTGAATAGGGGAGACACAGCCGGACAGCTGACCAAAGCTGGCCAAAAGGATATTCCATATCGTATGACATTGTACTCAGTATAGAAAGCGGGGGTAAACCTGTCTGGTGGCTGCTGCTCAGGAAATGACTGGGCATTGATCAGTGGGTGATGAGCAATTGCATTGTGCAGTAATTGTTTGTATATTCTAATTCTCCTATTGTTAATATTATTAATGCTAATACTGTTGCTGTTTTTTCCTTTTCCATCCTATTAAGCTGTCTATATCTCAACCAGTAATTTTTACTCTTTTTTAGCGTCTGATTATCTCTCCCATCCCACTGCAGGGACAGGAGTGAGCAAGTGGCTGTGTGGTGTTTAACTGCCTGCCAGGTTAAAACGCAACGTACAGTGACTCAATTGTTCACAAAGGTATGCAGGTTGCAAATGCTGCTGTGGTATGTGAACTCGAAAAAGAGTTTGAGAAAAGAGTTTTAGGAAAAAAGTTTCCAAAAACTGCGCTTGTTTTTTCCAACTACCTCTGAGCCAATTAAAACTGAAATATTCCTTTTACCTACCAGCCTTGCCTCTTTAACAAATATAAGTGCTTTTCCTGCTTGGGCCAGGGAGAACTTGTTTTACATTAAGAACAGGATTTTTTTTGATTGTATATGCTCTGGGCACGATAAATTCTACTCAGTATGTTTCCTCGAACTGTTGTACACTGAACTGTTTAAAACATTTCCTGGAATTATTACCAATGATCTTTAGCAACTAACTAACTCCTTGTGAATGTTACAGTAAAAACCCCACAAAGCTATTAGACATGTACCGACATCCATAGAGTAGCTTCTGAGGGTGACGGATTCAGTCACATCACCTGTGCTTCATTAACTTGTCATCTGTATTGGTTAAAACCTATTGCTCACTGCCATGCCAGCAACCACAAAGCAGGTTAAGCTCTCCCTTTTTTTGCAAGACCTATGAAACAGGGATACTTCTACGTAGGCTTCATCCATTACTTAATCCACTATTTCTGAAATGCTCATGTAGGTATCTGAATCTGTAGAAGTATAGAGTGTGCAATGGATTTGCACGGAAAGTTTTGGTAGCAGGGAGCTACAGGGGTAGCTTCTGTGAGAAGATGACAGAAGCTTCCCCTGTGTCCGACAGAACCAATGCCAGCTGGCTCCAAGATGAACCCTCCACTGGCCAAAGCTGACCCCATCGGCAATGGTGCTAGTGAATACTTGAGAAGGGGAGGGGGGGTGGAGAACTGTGCAGTTGCAGCCAGAGAGAGAAGTGAAAACACGTGAGAGCAACAGCTCTGCAGACACTCAGGTCAGTGCAGCAGGAGGGCAGGAGGTGCTCCAGGCACCAGAGCAGAGATTCCCCTGCAGCCCTGGGTGCAGACCATGGTGAGGCAGGCTGTGCCCCTGCAGCCCACGGAGGACCCCACACTGGAGCAGGAGGATGCCCGAAGGAGGCTGTGACCCTGTGGGAAGCCCACATTGGAGTAGGCTAGTGGCAGGACCTGTGACCCCTCAGGGGACCCACAGTGGAGCACTGTGCTCCTGAAGGGCTGCACCCTGTGGGAGGGACTCAGGCTGGAGCAGTTCGTGCAGAGTTACAGCCTATAGGAAGGACTATGTCTGTTGTGGACTGTCTCCTGTGAGAGGGACCCCACGCTGGAGTAGGGGAAGAGTGTGATGAGCTCTCCCCTGAGGAGGAGGGTACAGCAGAGACACCGTGTGGCGGACTGACCGCAACCCTTACTCCCCATTCTCCTGTGCCACTGGAGGGGAGATAGAAAAGTCAGGTATAAAGTTAAGCCCAGGAAGAAGGGAGGGATGGGAGGAAGGTGGTTTAAGATTTGGGTTGTATTTCTCATTATTCCACTCTGTTTTGATCGGTAATAATTCGAACTAATTTTTCCCAGGTCGAGTCTGTTTTGCCCATGAAGGTAATTAGGGAGTGATCTCTCCCTGTCCTTACCTTGATCCATGAATCTTCCATTATATTATCTCTCTCCTGTCCTGCTGAGGAGGGGAGTGATGAAGCAGCTTTGGTGGGCACCTGGCATCCAGCCAGGGTTAACCCACCACAAGTGCTAGCAACCATTTGATTAAATCAAATGTTTCTTCTGTGTGTTGCAGGTTCACTGCCACCAGCAATGATGCTGTTGGAAATGTGTTCCTGGATGCCTAGAGTTCAGGGTCCAAGCTGGCAGGTTAACCTCGAGCAGGTGAAATTCATGGTCCCTTTTTTGTGTTGAGAGAAACACAAAGACCTCTACACTGAACTCCTAACACCATCACAAGCACAGAGGGAAAATAGTCACTTGAAAGCATGGCAGCACGTGTTTGCAATCCCCTCCTGCTTTCACTGCTTTTTCTGATACATTTAGGATGCAATATCCCATATATATCATCTTTTGATTAAGCCATTAGCAGGTCAGGTGGGCAATCTCTTTGAAAAGGTGTATGTAGAACAACGCCTCATATCCTCTGCTAAAATTGCCATCCATTTAATCCTGCTATAAAGGAGTCCTAAAAAAGAAAAGAAACACATGACATCTCATTTGTGGGAGGAAAGCTGCTGCCTCAAGCTAAAAGAATTTTATGCATAGTTGTCTTTACTAGCTGGCGTAGCCCTTTCGATCAGCTTATAATTGTGGGAATGGGAAGAGCAGCACTTCAAAAGGCTAATATTAACCAGAGTATGCTAGGGAGTAGCAAGGAGGGGGAGTGCCAGTGATGACTTATAAATGGAGGATGCGGGGTGTGTTCTGCTTGACAGCGAGAGTTAATGTTTCTGACTAATTTCCCTTGAAAGAATATTTTTCTCTATTTCAGAGTCTAAACTTACCTGCTTAGCTAAACCCTGCTATAACCAGAATGCTGGCTAAAAATTGTGGACCAAACCCATGCAATTTCTTTAGGAGAGGTTTGCATAAAATATTTGAGCATATATAGCTTCCATTATCAGGATTAGCAACATTCTTTAAAAACACTGAAAATTGAGTTTGACATGCAGTCTCCTAAATCTAGGTGGATGAGGCCAAAGGAAAACATCTAACATCTAACCTGTGATGAAAGTCACAAGTACTAGTAATATTGGCATTTAAAATTTTTCAGAGGATTAAGTTAATAAACTGAGTTTTATAGGAAATTAGCATCTTTTACAATTAAGCCAAATAAATGCCTCCTGAAAATAGCTGTACTGGCAGCTGTCTACATTCATTAATCTGTATTTCCCTGAACAGATTCTACAACAATTAATGGAAGATTAAAAAGTTAGCTATAGTTTTATTACAATTCCATCTGCACAAGTTTGATTTTGAGGGTATGTCAGGACTTCCTGATATTCCTGTGCTTCAGCTTCTAGTTTTTTTTAACAAGTCTTTGGCATTAACAGTGCTATTGGATAGGAATGTATATATACCTTTTGCTAAAGCATCTGCAAAGAACTTTTCAGTTTTGAAGTCCATGAAAGGTCTGAAGCTAAAAAACATACCACCTTTCTACTTCAAGAGGATCTTGTAGAGGTCTTGAAGTTACATTAATATTGCTTTCACAGGGAGCAGGCAGATTGTGACTTCATTTTATGAATATTTGATTTGCAGCACAGCTCTTGTTTCTGGTAGGAATACCGCTCTGAGTTCCTGGTTGATGACTCCAGGATCAATTTTCACAGTTGTTAACAGCAAAGTTGAGAGGAATTGATACAGGAAACTTTCCTTTGAGGCTGGACATTTCCATTCATGTGAGTTACCTCTAAGCATGGTCCAGTCCCCTGGATCAAGATGTGGCCTGGATACCTGTTGTGCTTTAAGCCCAGCTGGTAACTCAGAACCATGCAGCTTGTCGCTCCCTCCCCCCCTTATTCTTGCCCCCACTCCCAGAGGGATGGGGAGGAGAATGTAACTCCCACGGGTTGAGATAACAGCACTCCAGTAACTAAGGTATAATACAAACCACTACTGCTACCAGTAATAATGATAAGAGGAATAACAAAGGGAGAGGATACAATTGCTCATCACCCACTGACCGATACCCAGCCAGACCCGAGCAGAGATCTGGGCCTTCTGGGTAACTCCCCCCAGTTTCTATACTGGGCATGACGTGCTGTGGTATGGAATAGCCCTTTGGCCAGTTTGGGTCAGGTGTCCTGCCTCTGCTTCCTCCTGGCTTCTTGTGCCCCTTCTCCCTGGCAGAGGATGAGAATGAGAAAGTCCTTGGTCGGAGTAAACATAACTTAGCAACAACTAAAAACATCGGTGTTATCAGCATTGTTCCCAGGCTGAAAGTCAAAAACACAGCACTGCACCAGCTACTAAGAAGGAGAAAAAATGACTGTGCTAGCTGAACCCAGGCAATCCCTCTGTGGGCAGAAAGAGAGTGACTGGAGCACACAGAGGCTAGTCTCCTGTGGGTGCTTCAGTGACCAAGTGGTGAGGTGCACCACATTAACAGCCGTGTTCGCATGTAGCCATAGTTACCAGAATAAATGTGCAAGAGTTTCTGAGAACAGAGTCGTTTGTCTTTGTGCAGTTAAAGCACTTCTTTGGTATCAAAAAGAGCAGAAATACTACTAGGAATAGATGACAATTACAAATACCATTTCTAGTTCACAACTTTCTGTAAATGGCAGTTGTCCTCTGGATCAGATTTTCTTCTTGCCTACAGCAGTTTAATTCTAGAGATTCATTGGTTAGTGGGTAGAAATGAAATCAGGAGAATCAGGTTTAAAAATGTTTTTCTCTTTTGATCTGTAATGGGAAAAGATATCTGCAGCAAGAGCTGTTTTGCAGTTATTCCAGTTTAATTTATGAGTAATTCCAAGCAAGTCAGAGGAATTGGGCTGGTAAGAGATGGGAAATAAAAGTCGGGGGTTGGAGTCACGGTTGTGGAAAAGGAAATTTTTTATTACCTTTCTACCAAGGAACACAGCTTTTATTTATGACACACCGCCCAGAAAAAAATTAAGGTTTAATCCAAGTGCAGTGAAGAGCAGGTTGATCCAGTATGTGGCAACATCCTCTCCAGGAACTCATGCTGTAGTTTCCTCCATGGAAGATCTCTTGAGATTGATTTACACTGGGGAAGAAGATGAAAGCAGAAATCAGATATACTCCTTTTTTCTTACAGGAATCTTTCTCTCTCTCTGTATGTGTGTATTCACATAATACACACATATGCACATATATATATGCACATGCACACACATGCACACTTTCTCCAAAGCAACTTCAAAAATGCTAAAATTTTCATGAGATATGAAATGGTAATAAGACTTTCCAAACACCAGCCGTGTCCATGACTAGATGTTCTCCCTTTTTATCAGGGTGATGTCTGGTTTTCTGTATAAAGTCTTCGAGTATATCTTCCTAGATAACTGAAATGATTGAGGTTTTCAATTCACTGTTCAAGGCTTTTGAGCATTTGCTCGACACTGATTCTAGTCAAAACAAAGCAAAGTCTTGTCTTTGGAGCAGCTTGGTAGAGTCAAAATTAGTGTGATGAAGACAAGTTGGAGTGACGAAGAAATATGAAATAATGTGCCTAACTTCACAGATGATTTTTACTGAGCAAAAAAGTTTTTTACACCAGTTCAATGTTAAGAAAATCTTACTTGGAACATCAGGTTGCAAAAACAGAAATTCCTTGTGATACCTGAGCACTGATGTTTAGGCAGAAGCTGGTGATCTTCATACCAACATGAATGATTTTTTTAAATCACATTTTTATGAATAGTTGAAATCTAAAAATGTTACCATAAAAAGAAGGGCACAATATATAATGTATATGTCCATATTCAAAGCTACTTTTTAAGACACGGCATGGAGGGAAGAAATATACGTGTTAAAAGAATAATACAGGAAAAAAAAATCACTTGAAGTTAGAATTGGAATTTTGATCCCCAACATGAGGAGTTAAACATCACAAGAAATTTTAAGTTGTCACAAGTCTTGATGCTAAGAAGATGTAACAAGAAATCTTCCTACTACACACACAAAACCCCTGTTTAGTTAAGTGAGGGGTTGTGAAGGCAGATCCAGTGCAATCAACACCGAAGAAAATTCCCCATTTGAGGATTCTGTCAAGACAATTCTTGCAGGTTAGATTACAGCAACATCACTGTTACATTTACACTGTATGTTGTAGAGAAATGCTCAATCTTAGAGCATTGTCTTTATTAAAAGAAATGTGAAAGGGAAGATAAAGTTCTATTTTCAATAGCATGGAAAAAAAGTTGAATTAGAGTATTTGCTTCTAAAGCAATTAGTCATGAAAATGGAAAAAAAAAAGCATCACATTACGAGAAATTTGAAAGGTTCTTGGCATAACTTAAATACAAAAATACCTCTGCTTTTTGTGAAATAGTGTTAAGTATGTCTAAATTTATTTCTTATTTAGTATCATTATCTTTCTTCTCTATCTGAGATAGGGAAATACCAAACGCAATTTACCTCAGAGTATCTTTCTAGTTTGAATTCTTTGTAAACAGGCATGATTAATATTATCTTCAGCCAAATTCACAGACAGCAGAAGGAAAAGCTCCTGGCTTTTTTTTTTTTTTTTTTTTTTTCCAGCTAGAGTTTTTCAAATATTTGATTTAATTTTGTTAATATTTGAGGTGAGCCTAAGCTAAACCACTGAATCTTTACGTGGTAATCTATCTCTAACACTTCAGGAAGCTCTGGTTTGGACAAAGATGTTTTGAGTTCTCTGTTATTCCACGTATGTTTGGCAAGTAACAGAGAAATGCGCAGGAAAATGAAAACAATTCAGCAGCATTAAAAGATACAAGTTCATGGAAAGCAGGTGCCTAATAAAAAAAACCAAATACAAAATATAAAATTAAGCTTTTAGATACTATGTGAGCTCTTGAATTATGCTGACAGAAAGATAAAGACTTCCTCAATACCTGGCGAAGAGTTGCTGGCAGCATTCAACTAGTTCTGTGCTGTTGGCAGGAAAATCTGTGGAGTTGAAGGCATTTCCTAACAAAATGTGGCAAGGAACTTCCAGCCCAGGGACAGTCAGCATTCCTGTAAAGTAATTAACAACTTTCTGAATGAGTAATGAAGTGGAAGGTAAGACTTGGGGATGTCAGTCACTGGGGCATGGTCAGATGAAATGTTCTGGCTGATATGAAATCACCCTCTGAGATGGTTCCGTATGGGTGCAAGATTAAAACCCTCAAACTGTGGGTTTTTTTAAAAATCTGTATCATTTTACAGAACTGGATTAAGGAGTGACCGCTTGCATTGTTACGAATGCAGCATAGCTCCACTTTAGCTACTGAAAGCACTCTGGCCCAGCAGTGAGAAAGCCATTACCATACCTTTTAGTAGCATTAAAAGGGGAAGAAAAACATAGTAGTCTAAAAGATTACTGTATTTTGAAGAAGAAAACTTTAAGAACAGCCTATTGCCACTCCTTCTGTGAAGTACCTAGTCATTAAGCCAGAGAATGCTAATGGCTTTCTCACTGCTAGGCCAGAGCTCTCTCAAGTGACTGAAGTGGAGCTCTGCTGCATTTGTAGCAGTGCAAGTACATTCAAGACATTTTCTTTTGTTTTAAATGTGTTAGTTATGGATTACTTGTCTTTGTTTTGCTAGATTTCAAACTTTCAAACCTTCAAAATTTCCTATAAATAGTAATATTAGCATTCATTGCAGTAATGAATATGAAAGTGACAGCTCCTTCTTTACATAGTGTTGTGGAATGTGGACACATTTTTAATATGTTCTTATCTTAACCAGGGTAGTAGAAATTGCTTGGCTATTTTATCTTCTGGGCATAAGGAAAAACATTAGGGTTGGTAGGAGTTGGTGGAATACAATTTTCTTTCCAAAGCAGATTTTATTGTTTTGGAAAGATTTTCTACTGGCTGTTGGTAATTCTGTTCTTAAGACCAGGATTGTGAAATGACACATTTTAGTAAGACTTCCTGATTCCTCAGTTATACAGCGTAGAGTCATGTATTAAACTACTATGGAAGGCTATGAAACTAATGACATTTCAAGTGTACTAGTTCTATAACCTGCAGAAAATAGTGTATGCTTATGTTTAAAATGTGTATGTTTCTGTTGCTGCAACGAACACAAAGGGATAGGGACTCTATGGTAGAAGCAGACATGCTGTTTTCATCTACATAAAACACCAAGACCTTTCATTGCTCTAGGAATATGAGTGCTTTAACCTTCATCGTACAATTCTGTGTATCACATGCTCGAAAAGAAAGCTGGGGAAAGTACAGTTAAATACTGGGGATAAATTTTACCTGCTGAATAATATCTGGTCAATTATTTAATCCTTCAAATCATTAATATCATGTTCTTTCTAATTTACTCCCTAAAATGGCTGTTGCACTGTGACTCTGTTCAGTTTGTAGGTGAGACTTCAAAAATAAGGATCTGTTGTTGAGTCCCACCTTAGGGCAATTTCCTTAATCTAAGTGCTCTGTCGGAATAATATCAGCCCAAAATAACAATTTAGCATTAAGGCAAAAGTCCTTTTGGCTTCGCCCTCACTTCTTCTCTTACACCCTCCATTCATTCCACTTCTCCATTTCTGCTCCATAATTATTTCTGTAGCTAGTGGTGTGGAGGAGGGATTGTAACTCGTCTGTGACTTGCTTTGTCTACAAGTCATGTGTTACACACGGACTAACAAAAAAAAAAAAAATTAGTTAAGACACAAGGGAAGAAATTAAATAACTCTTGAGCCCTCCATCTCACACTAACTTTTAATCCTGCTAAACTCGCAAATAGCAGCGTTTGAGTGAGAGGAGCTGTTTATCGTGTTGCGCACTGCCACCCGGTGGTCACCGACTGTAGGAGACACCAAACCTGGATCCGGTACCTGCAACACAGGCTGTCATGAAACAGGCCACAGTTCCCGCAATCATTGCTCTGAAAGCACCACCAGCTATTTCCTTTTTTTTGGATGGAGCAATACTTGCTAGAAGAAAATTAAAGTGTGTGTCAAACATAAGTACATACAGATATAAAGAAGGAGAACTTGCTGGCTTTTCCACCACAAGAGGAAATCCCCACCCTGCAGTTTGAACAAGGGAAAGAAAGAAGGGGAAACAAAACAGTTTTAGCCGACAATTTGAAGGCCTAGTGCTATTGCTGGCTCTTGCTGTTAAGAAGGCGACTTGTGTATAAAATGCAACTGCAGTTTGCTTCGGCAGTTTGCATGTTTGCGCTGGGTGAGGGTGTCTTCCAGAAGCAAACCCCAGGTGGGGCACTGGGGTCTGGCCCCATGCCGGGTCCTGCCCCTCTGTGCTGGCCCACTGCGGGCACTGCAGAGCCCAGTGGGCTCCTGGATAAAGATGCCTGCCAGACATTCTGGCTGCTTGGTGAGGATAACACAAGTTTCTTCAACTTTTCTTTTTCCCTCAAGATCTGAAAAGCCTTTCCCCTCCCCCCCCTCACCCCCCTCCCTCTAAGACTACTGCATATATGTGACACTTTTACAGCGAAAAGCCAACTTCGTCTTTCAAACCAGCAGGCTATAGAGATGGTTTGCTCCTCTTAAAGCCGAATGGCTGTAGTAGCTCAGGCTCACGGTTTTAGGGCTGGACAGGGGTGCCTGTCTGCAAGGTTTAGTCCCCTCCCCTTGCCCTCAGCCTCTCTCCCAGTACATCCATACCAAAGCCTGCACCCCTCTGGGAGCCCTTCCATGCACCATTGCGTGCTGGGTCTCAGCAGAGCACCTGCTCAGCCTTCAATGCTGCTAAGCTTCACCTACAGCCTGTTCCTTTGGTTATTTTCTTTAGGATTTGCTTGCTAAATAAATTGTTTGTAAGATATATTCTTACTCAGGCCTCCTATTACCAGTCCCAGAGAGCCGAAGTTGGCAAACCCACAAAGAGCATAGGTGGCAATGACTTCGGAGCGAACCTGGAAAACAAACACAAACCCTGTTGAGTGGTTTGAGGCAGCTCATGCTGATCTAGAGATCTGAAAACACGGCATTGTGGCTCAGAGCTCTAACTACTGAAATCACTCTGTTGTGCTTGGTTGCTGCCCCAGAGTGTGACTTTCAACAGGCTAGGTTCATACTCTTGCTGAGAAGTACCCATTGCCTTCGTGAGGATTCTCAAACCATGTGATGGTTTTATTTTTCATGTAGTTTGCTGTGCCTTGTTGAATTGAGTACTAGTAATTAAAAACAAAAAAATAATTCTTCCTTCTAATGGCAATATATCTGCTGTTCTCTGAAGGCATGAGTCTGAGAACTTTAACTCAGCTTATTGTCCATAGCTGGACTGCCTCTATAACACTGTTGAAACCTCAAGTTTTGGCATTTATCCCTGACTTCTTCGTCCGTGAACAAGCAGAGGGCTCCCTGTGCAAACCTGCTCTGTGCACACTCCACCCTGTGCACAGAAGAGGGAAAGGGTAATGGGTCTTCTAGAGAGTGGGTGCTTTGATGTTGTACTGGCAGAGGGTCATCGTGATTTTGGAATCCCCATTAGCAGCTTATTTCCTTCCTGACTTCAGCCACCTTCCTTCCTTTGGGCAACACCAGCTCAGCCTGGACTTGAGACCAGAGCAAGGTTGGGTTGCCCTTTCCTCCCATGGAGGGACCCCTCATGAGGCACAAAATTGCTTTGAGTGAAATCAGGCTGAAAATCTAAAAAACCTTCAGAAGAATGTGGTTCTAACGTTTTGGAAAAGGAGAAAATATATCTCAGCAAATGGATTTTTATCCCCCCTCAACAGCTTTCAGCTCCTATTTACTGTGATTTAGGCCCAAGCTGAAGATGCCTAAGTGAGTGTTCTAGAAGGTTTCTTGTTTATTAGAAGTTTTTGTTTCCATTCCTGTTTTATGAAGACAAATTTGTAGATATTTTCAGTCACTCTGTACATATGCAGGAAAATGCTTTTCAAGTGCCCACTCTGTCTGCTTTTCCTGGAAAAGCCTTTATGTGCTGTGATTTTCCTGCTTTCATTTGCACTTTCTTAGCTCTGAAAACAGGAAGCCTTATTATTAGTGACTCAGGTGAGTGAGGTCTGAAGGCCGCTTGTTTGCTCACTCTGACTGTGCTTGGATGTATTGGAGAGTTCTGAAGCCGAAGAGAAATTAAAAAAGGAATTCAAGAGCACTCTCAGCTGAATTGTTGTGTGGCAATTAAAATGCTTTCTGGGCAATTTTTACTAATGTTATGAATCAAAGTTATTTTTACATCTCACCGTTTTTTAGCATGGAAGTTAATACAGCTTTTTATAGGCATTAGAAGTGAATGTGGATGTTTTATAAGACAAAAAAAAAAAAAAAAAAAAGGAAGGTGAAATACAGTAGATGGGATCTGCATCTGAAGGCTGACTTCCAGATTACGAAAACCCCTATTTACTCATTCAGGAGTTCAGATCCGTATTCTACTTATAGAACATAGCATGACTGTAGCAGGGTAGATCAAAATTCTGTCTAGCCCAGGAGTCTATTTCCAGGATTTCCAGGAACACTGGTTATGGTTGCTCAGGCAGACGTGGTCAGGAGCATGTTTTTGGTTTTGTGTAGAAGGCAGGTATGCACAACATCACACCAGATTAACTGTACAAAAGGATGTTTCCTAATTAAGGGTCCTCTACAATGATAGTTTGTCTTGATTTGAGGAAGAAAAGCCAGTGCAGGTACAAAAAGATGGATATCATGTTTTTCGTTGCCTGTGCTTGCAATGAGTCAAAATTCAGTGCAGGCTGTGCATGTGGATGCCAAATGGAAGAACAGTTGTGACTACAATGGTCAGCCTTGATCAATGCATGCTCATTGCCACTGTGCACACACCTAGGATGCACTTTGTGTTGCCATCCTCCAGGTTTCTTCTTCAGGAATTATAGGTACTGTTGTGTGGATCTGGGTGGATGTGTGAATGAGTGTGGGCCTGGCCTAAACGAACTTTCATTTGGCAGTTGAAATGAACTGGTTGGACTCAGTGCAGCAAGGGAGGTGTATGCCATGTAATACATATCTTTTATTACTGCCCCCTGCACAGGGGATAATAACCTCCAGCAAAGGTCTGCCAGTAATACCTTCAAAGCTGTCACCTAAAGCTTGCTGGATGCCTCTCTTGACTTGAAGTTTAATGCCTGGCTTAACCTCTGCAGTCAGGAGGATCCTCCAGTTCTTGCCCAGGATTTTCTTGGGAGAGTATCTCATAGGGAAGCGCTAGCTAAGAATGAGGTAAGAAGACAGTCGCCTTGAAGACAGACGTTGTCTTAAACACAGTGTCTTGTGGGACATTACATGTTCCCCAAAACTACGCTTTTCTCTAGCTATGTTCATTTGAGATAACTAATGTGCTGACAATCTTGGCAGCCTCACAAAGCAGTGCTGTATTTTCATAATTGAACTCTGTCACTGAAAGACACACTTTAGAGTAATATTCGACCATTATCCCTTTATGCCCATATTAAAAAATAAGCTGAGTTCCAGCAGAAAAGCATTAGATCCTATAAATCTGTACAATAGAAAATGTTACTTACAGTCATGTACTGTTTCACACCATTAATGTACATGCTCCCACCCTTTTCTCGGTTGTGAATCAGTTGTGAGAGGCGCTCATAAGCCACAAATTCATTGAAGAAAGTTTTGTAACCTAGTAGTCCACCGACAACAAAACTGTCTTCCCAGTCTACCCCCATCATGAAAGACAATGGCATGAAGACGTAGGCACAAATGTTCTGCAAAATACATAAAAGAAAGCAGGTCAAAAGATATTGTTGGTCAAAGAACAAAGGCATGAGATAAGTTCCCTAAACCTAAAACAAAGATGGTTTTATTTCAGCAGAGGAAACTTGGTCTTGAATTCTTGCTGCCAGCACATCTGGGAGACTGAAGGTTTTCAATAGTAAGGTATGCTTGAGTAATTTCTAAAAGACCAACCCAAAATCTAGAAAGTAATTTGGTATGTCCTTAATTTTACACCTGAAGTAAACCAAAAGTTTCAGTACCTTTTTTCCCCAACAGTAGGTTCTGATTGGGTGTAGTGTTTGAAGCAGAGAAGGAGGGTGAAGTTAAAAGAGCTGATGACAAATTGAGAAGTCTAGTTCTGCTGATCAAATCAAATGTGTTAATGAACATGCCTAATTACCAGGTTGTTGGACTCCAACTGGTGTAAACAAGAGTTGTCTCTGCATAAAAGCTGACACAAGTAAAGGTGTACCTTTTTATTCTAACATTAAAGTTTTAGGCAGTATAGATTATTTTTATATGAAAGAAAGTAGCACCAGCTGTGAAAGGGTTTAGTCACATTGTCATTAGTAAACTTAACCGAGATGTTTAAGCAGTTAGTATTCCTGGTTGGTTTCTCTGTCCACAAAAGACAAGATGTCAGAATCTCTCAAAAGGAATGGATGGCTGAATGCAGCATGTCTCTGAGTCTCAGGTCCTTGTGGTTTATCTGTCTTTCCAAAACTTACTCTATCAGCAATTATTAAAACACCAGCCCTTGCATGAGCGTGGCTGAATTATGCATACTTGTGTGCGTATCCCCTGTGCAGTGGTATAATCTGTGGAAGCTATGCACGGGAACATTGAAATGTTGCTGAAGCCACATCTGCTCTGAGTGTCTATTCACTTCTACAGCACCTTTATTGCAATGTTATATCCGTGTTTCACACAGGACTGTTATTAGGAGCTTGCAAAACAAAAAGCCCCAAACCATTGAACCAAGATTGTTGTATAGGGTCAAAAATTATATATACGTGAACCTAGGTTAACAAAAGAAATCCTGTTTAAAACCTGTTTGCTCAGCTGAGTGGTCTGAGTGTAATTTTACAATATAATTCTGTTGAGAAATAATTATCATGGGTGGATTCAGACAAGTCCTTCCTTGCCGCAGTGTCCTTATCTAACTGAAGCTAGTGAACGTTAAAGACTTGATGCGGCTCTCTGAAGCTAAAGCTGCTCTAAATATTAAGTGAAGGTTAATGACTTAAGAATTGCATAACTAACTTGACATCTGCTGCACTGCCAAGTCACTGGAGGTAGGTATTAGCATACAATGCTCTGTAAACATACTCTGCTGGTTACCACAGAGGGAAGCTATACATGGACTAAAGGATACAGAAATATTTACATGGCAACAATTTTCCTTTTGCTGTAAAAACGTTTTTCAGGAACATGCACATAAAAATATATGGGCTTAGACCATATTGAAATGCAACAACAACAAAAACCCCAATAACCAACCAACCAATCAAACAAACAAACAAACAAAAACCCCCCACTAATCACATAGGCACTTTATTTGAGAAAGACAAATTATACATATATATAGGCTGCATGAAGGACGTGAAGGACCAGGACACCATACCTCAAAGTTCAGCTGTGGATAGTCAAACAGACTGCCCATCCAAGAGAGGGCTGAGTCAAGGAATGCGAGCAGGGCAAGAAAGGAGATCAGGTTCACTGCGATGTTTGCTACCAGCAGGATGGAGGTAGAAGCACCTTGACTGGCTGCTTCCAGCAGATTCTTTGATTCACTTTATCAATGGAAAGGGGGGGAAAAAAAAAAAAAAGGAAAAAAAAAAGAGTGTGAACAATTTTTAATTCAAAAACAAATCATAGATTGAAAAGTTACATTGACTTGATTTGAAATCTACTACTGAAGCTGTCTGTTCACTCACAGGGGAAATAGTGATGATGTGGAGTAGGTTCTTGCTCTTGATCCTTGAAAGCTACTGGGAGGGTATGTTTTTGGTGCCCTGAAGGTGAATTCTGGCACATTTGGATTTGGGCAAGATCTGGATCAGGTCCCAGTACTGTGATTACCTATCCCCCACTGGGACAAGGGAGTTGGCATTGCTCGTCTTCCAGGCAGCCCTTGCACAGATGCCTGGGCTGTTCAGGAACAGTTCCTTACAAGCCTTTTCTCTTTGCCTGTTGTTCTCATCACAAGTGAGTCTCCCTACAGATGGGCAACAAGTTCACCGCTGTCACTGCTGAAATGCTTGCTTCACCCTTGGTTTTGTGTGTTTGCATTTTTAGATTTGTTACAAAGGAAAGACAGCAATAAAGCATATGAGAAATCCTCTTGGTGGCTCCGCTTAGATAGGCATTTCCCTCTTTCTTTGGAGGGCTTACTGTCGGGCCCAGGTCCTTGGCACCACTGTGCCTGTCCCAGTGAGTAGTGATAACCTCCGTACATTGTATTGGGGCATCCTGCACCTGAATTCACAAACTACTGATTTGGGGTATATTGGTGTGTCATTAATTTGTTGCTTGCACATCTACTGTGTGCTACCTCTAAAGCCTATGTGCAAGGTGTTATTTTTCCGAATCCCATTGTGCATGAGTCTTACTACTAACTAGAGCTTAGATCAGCTTACCCTTTTGCCATCCGCAGCCCACTCAGAGTTAGTGTAGGCTTTTCAGTTTCAGGCCAGAATAATTTGGAGGTGGCTAATGATGCTGGTGCTGACATGACAGAAGCAGTCAGTAGGTGGGAGGCAGAAACCTAAAATTCCAGGTGACAGAAAATATGCATGACATGGAGGAAAGTGATTGAAATTGTTAGATGCTTGGATGATTTTTCTACAGGGGGTCATTAAAAAGTTCACATTGCTCATAAGGAAGAGAATGAGCAATACAGGAGAAAACCAATTTGATTCAGGAAAAATCTATGTAGTGAAAAGTATGAAGTAGTTTTCCAAGAGGCAAACTACTTCACTTCTGACTACTGGCAAGCCAGAAGGCAAAAGAAACAAAAAAAATCCTGCTCCATTGAGCGCAGTTGGGTGTAACAATAGCAGAGCAGGTGAGCAAGAGTCAGCCTTCCTTAAGACCCCCTTTATGATATGCAGTGGCACAAAATTGATTTTGTCATTTGAAGTTGTGTTTAAAAAGATATTACATGCTCTAACATAAATTCTCTTCACCTTTCACCCCTTATTCCATGAAGTTCTACACAAAATAACTTCTTTGCTAACTTCTGCAGTATTTCTCTCTCTCCTTTTCTTCTCCTACTCTCTCAGCCTTTTTGGCCAATAGCCACTTTTTGCCTCTGTCTCGCCACTGTATGTTATTCAGATACGGAACTAAGGTATTTATCAACCATTCCCTAGTGACTCTGATCATAAATCACACCTTTAACCCTGTTCTTCCGGCTTTGTGTTGCCTGTCCCTTAGCAGACAAGCTATTTACTGCTTGTGTTTGTACAGCTTCACTAGAACCTCAGTCACAAGTCAACCTTTTATGGCTAGCAATAGTTCCTGCAGGACTTTGTCTGTATCACTGCCACAGAAGTGGGAGAGTTGTTCAGTTAGTTGGTATATTCCACATGTCAGTCATTTCCTTGCAGCTGTGGCAGGAATTCTTTCTGTATTACAAGTATATGTTTGTGCTACTTAGAATTTTCAGCATTAGATCTTGGTATCCATTTTACTGTCAGAAGACAGGGGATTTCTAAGGTTGATTCCTTCATTTAAAAAAAAAAAAGGAATGACTTGGGTATGCTTGCAAAGCATTTTAGCTGAACTTCCACACTCACGTGATTTCAGATAAACAGCATATTTCCCCATCTTACCCCAAAAGAAATGTATGCTCCTAAGACACTTCCTGCAATAGTTGAGAATCCTGCTGTCATGACCGCATGGAGTTCAGATTTGGTGATGTAAGGTAAGTAGGGCCGTACCAGGAGAGGAGACTCTGTCTGGAAGCAAAAAACAACTACCAAATTAAGAACTTCCTAGTAAACACTCAGAGGTTATTTTATTAACAGGGCACCACACTTTCTTAGGTGTCTTTGACTAATTAATCTTAGTGCTAATGAGTACTCTGAGTATACTAACTGGGGTTTGGTTTTGTTTTTTTTACATTAAGATAGAAAATCATACCAACATCCATTTTGTTTGAAGAGAATTCTTGCTGGTTTGCTGTCTCCTCTGACGGCCCAATGAAATTGGCAAGAAATCCTAATCCAATTAATTCTGTGTGAATTAGGGACAGCCAGAGGCAAGGCTGTGCATCAGGTGAAATAGATATACCATCTGCTACAGGCAGCTTAAAGCTCCCAGCCTCTCTGCCATGTGTACGAGTACATTCTGGAGGTGGTGTCATGCAGAAGTAGTAGTTTAAATCTTGAAGCAGATACAGTGATGCACCACTGCTAAATAATTTATATGCTAATGTTGCTGATGGTCTTGGATGTTACATGGCTTGGGTGCTACATGTTGATCTTTCCACATTGCTTTGAAGCCTGGGACAGACATTCCTGTAGCGCAGGTTTAATGGATTTCCGATTAAAATGGACTGCTAGACTGTATCACATGCTTTGTGACCCACACTTATGCTTGAATTTCTGTTGGGAAAACATATGTTTCCCAAAACTTACCCAACTGTGCATTGTTGATGACATATGAATATTCTCAAATTCTGGAAATCAGCCACCAGTTCTGCTGCACTGGAGTCCTGACTTAATATGAAACTATTTTTTTATACACAGATGCATGCTGAGCAGCAGTATTGCACGATTTTTAGTTACCCTCTGCTTGCATGTTCTTTTACGCTCTAACTCACCTGTCCCACAAATATGTTACCCGCAGCTACCAGAGACTCAACAGGAGTTGTCCCCATGAAAATCTGCATTATCCAACCAACCTAAAATGATTAAAAAAGGAAAAAAGAAACAAAGCACATTGGTCTGCCTATTCCATGCACTTCCTGAGTTAATTAATGTAAGCATTCTGAGACACTTTACAATATTTCCTGAGTTAATAATTTCAACTGTGGCATTTGAAAATAAGCCAATAATAACTGAACAGAATTGAGAGTACCTCAGGCTCCTCCTGGGAATTAAATAGTTAAACTAAATCAATTAAAGCAGATATTTTGATGTGTCCTTATTACTTATGCACCTGTACAAAGGCACTTGGATCATATGAAGGGAAAAAATGTGTAATTTAGATTAAAGCTAAAAATGCCTCATAGAAATTTTAGCACAGTATTTCAGCTATGTGAGATTTGTGGTGCTTATATATAACAATCCTGTGAATGAGAAGGACAAAGGACTCTTAAGGAGTATCTTCAAATAAGGTTTAACTACCACCATGCAGGAAGATATTTTCCGTCATATGTTAAGTTTATTGGGTGGACAGGGCAGGAAGTGGACTTTCTGTGGACTTATCTTAGTGGACACTGACACTGGACAGAAGACTTGACAGAAACAAATACTTAGATCTTGAGGTGAAGAACTAGCCTCTGATCACAGTCTGAGGATCTGTGATAGAAATATCACAGTATATGCAATTGCTACTGCAATGCTTAGTAGAAAGCAGAAATCTAATGTCTGTGATGTAACCTCCCTCCTGTACTTTGGGGGCTGTGAGACGGGCAGGCAGAAAGTAAAATATAAGCAAGTATCGCATCTGAGGAACGCTAAAGCTAGCCAGACAAATCTAACAATTATTATGACGTTAGCAATACAACCAGGTTGAGGGGAGGAAAATGTGCTATGTGATGCCAATTAGGAATTTGCAGTGGTAATATTTAGAACTATTTCTGATTTAAAAATAAAAAACTACTTTTAGCAGCTTGGTGCTGCTACAGTTCGTCTGCACGTGTTCAAAAAGTATCCCATACTAGTCAAATGAGTACCTACTAGCAAAAATTCATACCTTTCCAACAAGCCACTGCATGAATCCAATGTGGTAAAGCATAGACATCACTGTGCTGAAGAAAACCACAATAGGCAGGACCTGATTTGGAGACACAAAATCATTAACACTTCTTGAGAGTTCCTTTCCTTGATTCTGCAGGCCATTCAATTTTTGAAAAGAAAAAAGGGTCACATTTTTGGAGATACACTTAAAGGTGTTGAAAACTCACCATGAAGTTTACACTTGTACTGTAAATTTTTTAACCTTCTAGCTCATTGTTTATGTTTGTTCCAGAATGAACTATTTTTTCATGTATCTATATAGTTTTCTAACAGGACTGCAATAGTTTTGAAACTGTCTGGTTTAGCATGATATACATTAATTTGAAGCCATGTTTAAGACAGCTAAAACTTTTACTGGGCAATGACATCTACAAAGACATGGATATGTACATCTGTAGTCTTTGAAAACCAGAAGCAGAAATATATACAGTGGGACTGTAGTGTAGAATTCAGAGCTCAGCTTCTCTGTGTCTGTGTTTAAAAAATAGTTTAGATTCCTATATAAGCAGAAGTTGAAGAGCTTTTGATTGGAACTGTAGCTGACTTAGTTTCACAGAATTGAGGGCAGCTTCCTTAGAAAGCCCATACTGTGAAGCTGCCTTTTAATTGTACACTATAGAAAGATTCTCTTTTATTCTGCTTTATTTATGACATTGATTATAACGACAATGAAGAGTATTCAAGAGCTCTTTAACTGTAAACAGATGGAGAATCTGCTTAAAAACAAATTCACAGGTACATATGTATTAAATATAAAAACTGATATGTCTTTTTCAGGGGAGACCAAAAGAAAAATATTTTCCTTACACATATAATTTAAAAGAATTTCAGGAATAGCTAACCCATTGTCAGGTGGATTATTAAATGTGTTGGTTTTTCATACAGAATAAAACTAATATCACTTGATTCTAAAGTACGTTAAATACACAGGATCTCAGCAGTTCTATGCTAGTATACAAAAGAAAGAAAAATCTCTCTGAAAGATCCACAATTAGGCAGACAGACTGTTGCAGTTAAAACAGTACCACTAACACAAGGAAATTTTATGTATGTTCAACTAAGGGCATAATTCATTATAAATAAAAGCAAGGAAGAGAATGAAAAAGAACAAAACACTTTGTTTAGACCTTTTTGGTAAATAGAAGCTATGCCTTTTCTAGAGGAAAGTACTATCAGCAATTTTGATAAAGGTTTGGAAACTCAGTTTAGATGACCAGAACCTTTCAATGAAAGGAGAAAGTGCAATTTACAGATATTGTTGCGCTCTTCATTTCTCTAGTTTGATTTTCTGATCCTTTTAGCGATCCTCTAGGGGTAGTTTGCCATGCAGTGACAGCAGAAAGTTTAGTTCAGAAAACTCTAGTTTAGTTTAGTTCACCTTCTCCCCTGCCTTTTCTCTCCTGCCATTTCCCTTCCCTGTTCCTAAATACGTTTAGATGTGAAAATACCTTTGATAACTTTAAAATGTGCTCTTCCATTTTTGCAGTTGCAGGCATTTCTGAATGAAATATTAGTCTTTACAAAACAGGGAATTTACTTTTCAATTGTGATCGTTTGTGCCTTTATTGAGTAAAGAAGCTGGGGACTATTTTATAACTAAGCACTCCTGCCTAAATCCCCAGTGACTTAATGTGGTACCTATTATGTTATGTCCTCATCAGAAAAGCGTAGAAACCATTTAACAGGTAAGTAATGGTAATGAGTTGTCATGTCCAGGCTAGCTTTTATGAAAGGCATAACAAAACCACACAGAAAGCACTGCCAAATTATTACTCTAAAATAAGCAGAACATAAAAAGGCTACTTGCAAGACATCACATTCAAGCCAGTTTTCAATTGTGTGGTCTGCAGAGACAAACACAATGAAAAGCACTTAACATGAAACAACTAGTTCACCTAAGGGAAAAAAACCCCAACAAACCACTTTTTAGAAAACTTTTTTTTTTTTTAAGTAAAACCCACTTTATCCAAACAACCCCACTCTCACACAAAGGCTTCCCATGGTATTAATACCCTGAAGTGTTAAGTCATTGGTTTTGAAACTTGGGACAGAGGAGAAAACAGCCTCAAGAAAACTCCTTCTGTCCCGTCTATATGGAGTGACCACCTCCTCTCCACCAGCCCCAAGAGGACTTTCAGCTTTGTGCTGGGCCCACGTGGGGTTGCATTTTGTGAGTGAGACAAGAGTGGTAAAAATGATGCAGGAGCATCTTCTCCCACTTCCAATCCTCTCCTTCTCCTTCTTTGTAGTGCCAGAACCAGGGGAGCAGGTAGCACAGGGTCAATAACAGAGTGCTCCCTCTGAGGATTAGGGCCTGAGTAGAAGGGCAAGCATGTCCAGGCAACACCTCTATGGTCAAGAGCTGTGCAGGGGCATGGGAGAGGGAGAGGAAAGCTCTGGTGGTGCTCCAGGGTCAGACATCTGGTGAAACATCAAGGGGGTGAAGGGACCCCAGGCTAGCAGCAGGCCTGGGGAGGGTGAAAGGAGCCCAGCCTTGCTGGACATCCAGCTACAAGATACAGGTTGTTAAGGAGGAGAATAGGCCATGCAAACCTTTGAATTTGAGGAGAGTCTGAAGAGCTAGGAGACTGGGGGAGGTAGGCATATGTACATGAGGGAAGCACTGTTGGGAATAAAGGATGCACAAGGATGATCTTAAGAAGTCTTGAGAACAGCTTTCTTCTGTAACTATAGAGCTGTTAAACACTGCGTACAGCAGTGGGAGGGCATGGTGGAACATAAGCCTTAATTGTTTTTGTTGGCTAAATGTGAGATGTATTTGTAAATAATAGGTCAAGAGTCCCCTTTGGTTTTCCTTTTTTTTCCAAAACCATGCACTGATTGCAACAAATTGCTTTTAAGGAAACAAAAGCTCTGAAAACTCATTCTTCTGTCTCATGGACTGCCAGTTCCTTTTTTCTACTGGAGTGCTCTTATTCTCTGAGTGCAAGAGTCTGCCACAAAGACACAGGTACTCTGAACAGGGATGACAAAGAGATTGTCTCCAACTTGCGTCTGCTGTTAAAAAATTCACGAGTTTTATTTGGATATACACACACCATTACAGGCTGTAATGACAGCTCTCAACCCAGAGAAAAGTGGGAGAGAACCACAAAAGGAAATATGAGAGGGAAGTCAGATGAACCTCAGCTGTAGCAAAAGCCTTCTCCTCAAAAAGGGTTAGGGTGTTTCCATACAGGAGAAGTGGATGTGTCCCACAGTGTAATTCTACCTGCATGGTTAAACCACTAGAATTCCCTTTGTGGACAAACTTGTGTGGAAATTTAGTTCCAATATGTATAGCTCCTACATACCTACTACATACCTTTAAATAGTCAAGTTTTAGCTTTAACTGATGAATAATTTTAATGAGCACCCTGAAAAATCCCGCATTTCAATGGAGAACTGGTATTAAAGTGGTCTTTATAATTATATTTATGTGGCCTATCAATGTTGCAGTTCATGCTTCCCATAAAGCAGTCTCTAAGAAAATAAATTCTTTAATTGCTACATTTTAATAAACTGAGTTATTTCATACTTCTTATCTATGCTGCAATATGGTTTGACCTTACTAAGCTACTTTCATGGTTATTGCCTATCTTACATGCAGGGAGGGAGTTAAAACTGTCAGCTGCTCAGAACTCCTTTCCCATTTGTGGCTTGATGTTCAGCTTTTCCCTTATGTTCCCTTAAAGAAGTTGCTATTGATGTTTAAGGAACATCCTGGTTTCAGACACTCCTACAGCCTGACCTTCAAAACAAAGCCTTTCTCAGGGAGTCATAATCTTCCTGGCATAGACAGATACTGATATAACAGAAGTCTAATTTCCTGATTGCTGGAAGCAAACTTTGCCTTTTGCAATCAACAGGATAGATGACTTAGTTCTAAGAGTTTTTTTCTGTCTACTTAAATACTTGGGTGCACTTCTTTATATGGACAAGTGTTCTTTTTCCAGAACTCTGCAACCCTACATCTGCATATATAGAAATACGCATTTAAAACAACCCAGTTTAAGCATGCAAATGCATGTATTTATGACTAACTAGTGCTTCCAAGACTACGTGCTCAAAGTCGGTAGTGGGTCTGTATTCTGTAGTCTGTAGTCTGGTCAGAATGCCCAGTGAGTGCACGCTAGAGATGTGTATGTGTTGGTAACTGTGTCCATCTAAGTTAGCAGAAAACGGAAGTTTTCCTTGCATAGTTCTAAGGATGCAGTATGGATACAACTGGGCTCTGACAGTTTTCTGTGGAGACATACCCTATCACTTGCCTACTCTCCATCAACAGCTAAGCTGAGACTGAGATTCTTCTCTTCTACGGGGCACTTTGAAATATCTTGGAGCAAGATTTGGACAGCTCAGCACCATGTGCAAACATCATGAAATGTCTGAAACACAAAAAAACCCCACTTTTGACCATCTAAACCTCAAAATAAATGACAAGTGTTTCAGGAGAGAATAGGCTGGCTGTCACTCACTGACACTGGAAGCAAGAAATCTCTTTCACCAAGAGGAGCAGATGGAGCATGTTATGGTGGAGCTGTGCACTTGTCTGCTACTCTGTTTACCATATATATTCCTATATCAAAACATATGCAGCTCTGAAAATCAATTCATGGGTTTGCTTTCTTGTTTTTCAGTGTGAAAATAATCTACTTGTCCCTGTTAGCCTGTTCTAGACATTCCACATGTCTTTTGCTGGCTTATCCCATAGAATAAGACTGATGGATGTGTGCACACACAGAAGCAAACTTTTGACTGTCTGGTTCCTAGTTATGGCTTTAGTCAGCAAAGTACTTTGCATCACCAAAGGCATTAAAAAAATCATCTTCAAAAAAATCATATCCATAAGGCATTGTGGAAAGCCACATGAATAGCACTGGGGGTGTGAATTAAACATTTTCATCCCTAAAATATGTAATTATGAATGCAAATTGTCATTTGAATGCTCAATAGAGTAAAGGTGAGAGGAGACTGGAAAGTGAAACAAAAATGACAAAAATGCTGCAATTAAAATACAATTTATATTTCTTGCTGAAATGCTTGTTTTTTTCCTCCTTTAAGATGTTCTGACTATTCTTAGTAGCAGCATATTCTACAGGTAGCATTTGCTTTCTGAAGTAGTGGAAGAGCTAAGTGTGAAATACCACCTCCAGAAAAAATGAAGATAAAAGGAGTGTAAGCGCAAGATCAGGTGTCTGAAATACCAGACAGATAAATGGTCTCTGATAAAGTTCCTATATGTGTCTCATAGTTGGATGTGGTTTCTTGTTTGTTTTGGTTTTTGCTTGTTTGTTTTGGTGGTTGTGTTGGTTTTCGTGTGTGTGGGTTTTTTTGTTTGTGTTTGGTGTTTTTTTTTTTCTTTATATGTTCTTGATTCCAGCCTAAGCAGGCATTATGCCATGGGCTATATGTTGGAGCAAAAGCAGACAGGCTGTTGCTGCAGGTTAGACAGCACACAGCACACAAGCTGTATTCTGGCAGTTTTTCAACAGGCTCCTAAGGGAGAGTTGGAAAATCTCCCTGGGATCTTAGTAATATAATAAAAATAATGTAATGTAATTCTTCCTGCTTGTACATAGCAGCTTCTACCTCTTCTACCTGGCGTAAGTATGCATCTAGGCTTTCCACTTCTAAAGGGGCAATGTCTGTGAGGTAGATCATGTGCACAGCACTTTAGGACAGCACAGCATAGCATGGTATAGCATTTTTTCTCATGGAGAGGTGAGAAAGATAGACTGGCTTTCCATCACTAGATAGGAGCCTTTTTACCTAATCCTTGTAGAAACATACGCAAAATTTTTGTCTACCTGTAATATATGTTGTCATAATTAGACTGAGTAACCTAATGCAGTGTATGACTATAAATAAAAGGGCTTTATGTGGCATTCCCAGACTTCCAATTCAGTGTCACACAGTAGAGAACAGTTTACCTCTTAGCTGATTTCTTTGGTGATTGCACTAGTATGGCAAGATATAAAATGAATTTGCCAGCCATACTGTTATTTTTTGTGTTGTCTATCTGCCACACATGGTATATATAAAACCTGACTTACCTTAAAAGCAAAGAAATGATCCATGTATGTCTCACCGAACACAAATTTAGCACCTGTGTCAGAGTACTCCAGAAAAGTCTATGGACAGAAAGCAGAGAAAGTTAGCCATAAGCTCCAGGCCCCCGCCAAAAACTAAAAAAATATTGCTAGCTGTCTTGCAGAGATCTGGTGAGGTCCAAGAAGCTGTGCTCTGCTCTGTATGGATCTAGGCTTTACTATGTATGTCTGAACTGAGTATCTCTGTTCTGTTCTGCCAAGAGCACAGGCTGCTTCAGAGTATTTAGATAAACAGCAAGAGCATATTTTCCTGAAGTAGCCATCACAATAAAGGCCATAAGCTGTACTAAAAGAAGATTTTACTTTTTAATCCTGATACTGTGGTGCATTTCTACACTCCCTCTCACACAAAAATGTGCAGCAAACAATACAGTTTAAAATGGAGATGTAGTGGCTGAAGTAATGAGTTCTGAAAGAAGTAGCCAAAAGCTAGTCTAAAAAAACCCCTTCAACTTATTAATTCTGATATGATGATGCATTTTCAGACTCCTGATGCCAACATACGCAGTTAATGACACAGTTCAAAATGGAGATGTAACAGCTAGAGTAACAAGTTACGACAGGACTGACCGTAAGCCCTCTGAGCTAACGAAAGGGGGCGCCAGACCCGCTTCAGTCGGGGACGAAAGGGGATGTTGAGAACCTGGTGACAAAACCCAGATGACTCCCACTCTTGCAGATTAACAGCCACACAGACGTCAGACCTGTACCTTCGCTCCCGCGCAGAGACAGTACATTCTGCACTGTCTTGTTTTGAATGCTCTTAATTATCTGCACTGTGAAGAACAGCTGTGAGAATGGTGTCCCTGGGGTGAGAAGTCTGAATGCCCTTCAGTGGGTACTCTCTGACCTACATTTTTGACTTCTCTTACTTATTACTTTACAGTAATGAGCTTTTTAAAAAATCTTTGTGCCTGCAGACTGCCTGCTGGGGCACCTTCACGCAGATCCTGTCCCCTCTCCAGAGATCCTTTTGCTGCTTGCAGTTGTGGATTTTGTCACCTGCAGTTGAATTCATTTTCTTATATGCCATGAGAACTATGAAATGCCCCTGGGGCAAGATCTGTGGCTCCTCTGAAGACGATGGTGCTTCTGCCTTGCCAAAGCCCAGGCCTTTTCAGCATGCCAGGTTTATTGCAAGGATGCTTTGGAGTTGTGCCAGGTCTAAGAGTTCCTGTGAGCGCCCCGGCACAATCATGGTTTTGTGTTTGGAGGGTTATAATTATTTATAAGCCCAAGGCTGGTAAGGCCATTAAGATACAGGGTCACCCTGGCCATTACTTATGATCCTGTCCCACATGATCTTGTGTTAACTGGACAAAAATGACACTAAAAGATTGAATTCAGGGAGTCCTGAACTTTTTGAGAACCCAGATTTTCTCTTGAGGGGAAAACATCCAGGGGCAAGTGGACCCTGGAACTGCCTGGCTGTTATGTCAGAGTGTCAAGATAGAAAATTATATAAGTGTGGGGTTTTTTTGTCCCGTAGCCTACCTGGATCTGAATGCCTAGCCAGTTAAACACATCAAACCCTACTTTGGTCCTCAGGATAAGCAGCCCAAGAATAAATTGCATTCCTATTCCTGAAAATACTGGTCTCCAAGCAACCTAGATGGACAGAAAAAGAAAAACAAAGAAACTCCTTGTAATTTAAATATATAATAATTTACTTCAGATGTTTGTTAAAATAATGTAAGGGGATATCTGGCTATATTGCAGGATAGGAGCAGCTGCCAAAACAGGTTGTAGGGGACTTGAAGCATGAATCAGCTCTCCTAAATTGAGAGCTCGATGATGTGGCTGTCTCCATCTAAGCTAGCTGATCAAAGCCCAGTTAGGTAAGTGTGGACATGCCCATTTCACTACCATAGACTGCAGGTAACCAAGTAGTAGGAAAAGGAGCAATAATTCTTTCTCTGCTAGAGTTTATAGATGAAATAGACATACATCAAGGCAGCAGACATCATTTTTTTCCTTTAAACTGGAATGGAAACATTAAAAAAAAAAGAAGCAACTGAGCATGCAGATTCTTCACATATCTGGAGTGGGAATAAGGAAATTTTGCTACAATTTTTTGTGTGTGCTTGAGTGACTTCAACTCTGCTTCTGTTCCTCAAAGATCTTTGATACTTACAAACTACTCACAGTTAGATATTGTGATTCATAAGACATAAAGGCAGCTGGAAAAACTGTGGCTGCCTATGACCAGTGCCTCTTCACTATACTGTAGATTTCTGCTTTGCTGCCTCAGAAAATATCTTTGTTTTGTGAAAATTGAATCTGATTATTTACAAGGCAAAGACCTGAGATGGCACTCTTCAATTTATTCAGTTGATATTTGAATAACAGAAGCCAATTAGGTTTAATAAGTACCTATGGGAGAGCACAAAGCACTTGAAATACATGAGTTTACCTCAGTTGGAGACTGAGTCCCTGCTGAGGGCACTTTTTCTGTTAAGAAATCCTTACCACTGATGCAGGAGTTGAAAAAGCGTTGGTGAAACCTGGTGACCTGGGCAATGGATTAGTCATTAATATATGACTGATAAAAGCATGCACTGTATGCTAGGCATGCACACAAGGGTAAGAGCTGAAGTGGGAATTGTGGTGGCTAAAGTAACTCCTTTGTAATATCACAGCAGTACAGAAAGGACGTCATCTGGAAAATTAAAATAAATGGCATTGACAAGCCTATGGGAGTGGGTTAGCGAAAAGTGAGGACCTCAGCTTGGCCTCAGCTGTTGCATTTGCAGTGGAAATTAAACTTGTGAGGGACTAAGAGCGACATAAATGAGGGAAGCACGTCTCCAGTTCCATGTGTTTTGTGTTGATGGGATGACAGTGTCCTCAAATAAGCGCTTGTGATGTCCTCAAGACTGCTGTGAGTCTCCTGTGAGTGCAAAGCATGGAGCAGGCCTGCCTCATCTTGCACTGATACTCCAGAAGCAAATGTGTTCCAATCATTTGCGTCAGGGCTGGAACAAAGGACAGGCAGTAGACTCCCAAAACAGTGAGACCCAGATGCTGGTACAGCCCCACACATGCTCCCAAGATATCAGAGCAAAATAAATTTCCTCAGAAATTTAATACATCCCTGGGTTTTGGTAAGCCTCAGTTTTGATGTTCATGGGTTTTCTGTTACTCTTGCTGAAGTTGGCACTAGCACAAGGGAATAGCTTTTGAGACACTGAACAAAAAAAAAAAAAAAAACCAAGCCCGAAAGAACCAACATGGATTAAATACTCACTCTGGTTGGATATTTGGAAAAGATAAACATCAAGAAAACATACATCGCAAGCCCACAAAAGGAGATCAGCTGGTGGGATCCCTGTTTTGCTGTGTCAAAGATGAGCCAGCAGATGACAGCTATAATAAAAGCTGCGCACAAAACCCTAGGAAAAAGAAGTGTCAGACATGGCATTCTGAAGAACAGCAGATATTCCTTCCCCTCCCCACAGTAGTTATATCTCAGTCTGTGAATGAACTCTGAGTAATGTATTAAGCTGAAATGTGTAACTCTACACAAGAAGGAACCTGCCTTTGCTGATGCAACCCTGACAACAATGTTCGTTGGTGGCATCCAGAAGAAAATGTCCTCCAACCATGTCTCCAAAGTCAGAGCGTGGGGGAAACTCAATAAAGCACAAGTTACTCTTGTATGGGAGTTATCTCTATTAAATGAAGCGTGAGAAGATACCCTCCTTTGTCCTCCATCCTCCTTTACCTTCCCTGTGTTCTTTATTGAATCTTAGCTCTGGGCAAGGCAGGCTGTGGTTCTTATGAATTGCACTCTGCTGTTTAAGTGGTGGGTCCAAACAGCAGAGTGTAGGTTATAAACTGTTTACTTCTTTGTAACTGGCTGTAGTCTGCTTAGAAAAATAACTTAATCACAACAATTTCAGCTATCTCAAAACAGTGACAAGAGCCACGTCTGCAACTGTGTTCAGTGTTTCTATGGTCTCCAATATCACAGAACTATGTTCAGCTTGCATATTGAAGCCTGAGAGGCAAGGAAATATATCATCCCATTTACAGAGGGGAAAACTAAACTTAGTCACAGTTCTTTATGTTATTCATGTTTAACAGTTGTTTAGCTTCCACTGATCTCGACGGTACTTAAATTTTTAGACAAAATGGTTAGCCATTGCATGGCTGAATAACACTTTCTACACCTGAGACACTTTCTGTCTCTTGGAGGAATCCATAACCTAGTTAAGCGCTTAACCTGTACAATGTACAATTTAAGCACTGCAGCCCAGGTATTATTACTGCCCTTGGCTTGTTCCATCTGCTCATCAGGGCTCCTGTTCTGTTTGCTCCTTCCCCCAGAGAGGCTGCCAGATTGTCTAACAGAGGCATCTATGTGTGACTAGTCTCTAATGTGACTCCTGAACAGAAGGACCAGAATCTTTATAGCACCTTTTTTAGAATTTTCTGCTTCTGTAGCAAACATTCTGAAATCTTAAGAAAAAGTTGGGATGTTTCCCTGAACACAAAAAGACTTCTCCTTAGAGCTCTGTCTCTCTGATAGAAGGTGACCTAGCTGAGACAGAAGGTAGCTGGCCAGTTTCCTGCCCTTTTTAATGAGGTTTCATTTGGTGTTTTCTTTGGTCTATGAGCCTCTTTTAGTTACCCATTTTCCCAGGAATAACTTAAATATTCCCGATAACTGCTCAGGAATTCTTGGAACAAGTATCTACCAATTCTAAGTTTTTCCCATTTCTCTACCAGATGAATGTCTATCATCCTGAACAAGGCTATATGATCTTATTATGATACTAAATGTGGCTGGCTTGTTTTCATTCCTGAAGTTCAGTTAAAAATTGCTGTGTGGATATGTGAACAAGTAGTGTCTACATAACACACATGGGTCTTTAGCAGTCTGCATACGTTAGAATTAAATTTTTTACGTATCTCACAGCTCTCTGAGCAAGTGACAATAAGGCATTTTCTGGCTTGCAGAGTGAAGGCAGAAGGCTACCCTGCACCTGAACTTCTGTGAACATGCTCTTTTCAAACCCAAAACTTGTCCTATCTAAATGTGAGGAATTTAAATTTTTTTACACTTTCTGACAAGATTTTTGATACCTAGGTATTGTGTTGCAATCTAAAAGGTGTATCTGACATCTACTAACTGGAAAATATTATTTTTTTCTGTATGTATTCTTTGATCTTATTGCGATATAGATCCATATCCCTGTGCTTATGGGGGTCTAAGCTGAAAGAAAACTGTAGGGGTAAATTAGCTAATGCTTTGTCCTTCCGCATAAATAGGAAGTAATTAATATTTACCATTTCAGCCAAAACCACTGTTCCTCCAGATATCGTACTCCAGGGGAAAAAAATGTAGCAATTCTGTCTCCATACTCAGCTATTAAAAAATCCCAGCAGATGAAGGAGATGGCTAGGACAGTGATGATAAAGAGTGGGAAGGCTCTCTGAAAATTCAAGCTGCAGGCTGCAATGACTACTGCCAAATATGCTGTCACAGAAACAAGAATATGTCAGTGAGGTTGGTCATTTTAAAAACAGAATCAAATCTCACATGTAAAGAATGTGGTTAAAGTTAGGCCTGCCTTTTGAATGCTTTTCTGACTCTTGGCCTAAATATTGAAAAACTTTGTTTTCGTACATAGTGTTTTTACTTACAATATGCTCATTGATATGAAAGGTGGCTTTCATCCTGTCAAAGCAAGTTACATGCTTTGGCCAAGACAAATTCATATCAAACATGTTAATCACTTGGAAAAATTAACCATGTCTACGAAACTGCTTTTTCTTGTGTAAAAGTTGTAAACAATGGGTCTTGTTCCTTCTTTCACAGGAAGATGAGTTTATCCAATAAAACTAGTAGAAGAAACAATTAAAAACATTCATCAATTGCCTGATTTAATGGCCTGATTTGATTAGTTTAGAAACTCAGAAGTAGTTTACTTCATAAAGTAGCTGTGAATTGACTTGTCATTTGGCAGGTTCTTTGCAAATACATGAAGGCCAATTAAATATTCAGTTCTTGTAAATAATAATCTGATTTTCTCTATGGCAAATAATTGAGAAGAACTACTGATTTCTGTAAGGCAAGTAGGTTTTTATGGATTTAATCCTGACATATCCTTAGAATTCACTTTTTTGAGCCAAGATATGTCTGTACTACGACAAAGAAAGATGAGCTTATACTAGGAGGGCAGGATATTCAGCGTGCAAGCGACCCTTTTATAACCATTTACGGTATGCTGATGCCTATCACACAGACATATTTTAGGCCTTTATGTTCTCAGTGTTCAAGTAGGAGGATCTCAAAAAGAAGCTTGGTGAAGGGGAAGGAAACAAACCAACCTACTGCTTAATTGAGAAGGGACAAAAAAGAATATCTGAATGACTTTGCAGTGCATGCTGACATAAACCACGTTTCCTCTAACAAACATTTGCTGTGGATGTCAAATGGTATGGGTCAGAATAGAAAACTTTCATTTCTAGCCTGCTGGCTTAAGTTCAGTCCAAGTCGATGCCTGACTTTTTAATGTGATTTGTGCATGGTTTTGGGCAAGTTCCTGAAACTGTGATTTAACAAGCCTCCTGGAGTGGGCTGATAATGAAGCAGACACAAAGGCTGAACTACCCTTTTATCCCAAATGTAATTGCTAGTCAGAGTTAAAGCATGATGCAGGAGCAATGTAGCAAGATCTGTGTTTTTATTAAGTTTGGGAATGAGTGGAAGTTTTGCAATCTGGAATTTTCTCTGGGTCTAAATTCACTTTTATCTCCTTTCAAATGCATTCTTTAAGACAAAAGATTTTTTGTGTAAGATAGAAGTCAGAAGATAATCTCATAAAGGTAAATAAATAAAACTTCAGCAACCTTGGGTGGAATATACTATACCTGTTATTAAAATTCCATAGATCACATAGTGAATTCTGGTCTTATGTTTCTTGCAAAATTCACAAGCTTTATCATATTTCTTTTCTAATTGCCTAGAAAAATGAAACAAAACAAAACTAAACCAAATAGAACAGAAACTTAAGATGTAAATAAAAAAAAAAAAGAAAAAAAATTTGCAGAGGAAGATCAGGTTAAATTGATCAAATTTTCTTTGTTGGAGTATGCTGTACTTGGTAAGGCTTAAAATCCCATAAGTGCCAACAAAAATTGTGCTGACATCTGCAGAGCTGTCTGGGGGTACACCTTTGGTTTGATGTGGGACATGTTGTCACTGTTTAACCTCAGTCGGCAGCTAAGTAGCACACAGTGGCTCAGTCTCTCATAGCCTCCAGTGGGATGGAGAGGAGAATTGGGGAAAGGTAAAACCCACAGATTGAGATAAGAACAATTTAATAATTTACATAAGATGATGATGATAATAATAATAGTAGTAGCAGCAGTAGTAGTGGTAATAGTAGTTGTAGGAGTAAAGCAATAGAGAGACAGATAAAGCCCACCACCCACTGACTGATACCCAGCCCATCCCTGAGCAGCAACTTGAGGCCCAAGTTGGCCCCTTCCAGCCAACTGAGCCTAGTTCCTATATCGAGCACGACGTGCTGTGGTATGGAATACCCCTTTGGCCAGTTTGGGTCAGGTGTCCTGTCTCTGCTCCCTCCCGGCTTCTCCTTCCTCTCCTCACTGGCAGAACAGGAGACCGAAAAGTCCTTGATCAGGGTAAGTGCTACTTAGCAACAACTAAAACAGTGGTGTGTTACCAGCATTTTTCTCAGCAAAAACACAACACTGCACCAACTACAAGAAAGAAAATAAGTTAACTCTACCCCAGCCAAAACTAGGACACAAGTGTTAAAAAAAATCTGGCTATGTAACAGGTCAAATTTAGAAGACCAATTTTGCTCACCCCTGAAGTACAACACTTCTGTGCAGAGGCCTGTTAACAGGGTTAGTACAAACTGGTAGGTAAAGATTCAGTGCTCATTACTAGATCCGCAAAGATTGTTAATATAGCCAGCCCAGCACTGCAATGTGGAGCAGTAGCAGTTGTAAAGGTGTAAAGCTGCATTTGTGTATGCAAAATAACCAATATCCATCTAAAACCCCATTAGAGTGTGCATAGATTTTTCTGTATATTTGAAAAATTGGTTGTTAATTAAATGAACTACTCATGTATGACTCATCAGAGGAGGGCCACGAGGATAATAAGAGGATTGGAGCACCTCCTGTATGAAGACAGGCTGAGAAAGTTAGGGCTGTTCAGCCTGGAGAAGAGAAGGCTGCGTGGAGACCTCATAGCAGCCTTCCAGTATCTGAAGGGGGCCTACAAGGATGCTGGGGAGGGACTCTTCCTCAGGGACTCTAGTGGTAGGACAAGGGGTAATGGCTTTAAACTTAAACAGGGGAACTTTAGGTTAGATATAAGGAAGAAGTTCTTCACAGTGAGGGTGGTGAGGCACTGGAATGGGTTGCCCAAGGAAGTTGTGAATGCTCCAACCCTGGAGGCGTTCAAGGCCAGATTGGACAGAGCCTTGGGTGACATAGTTTAGTGTGTGGTGTCCCTGCTCACGGCAGGGGGGTTGGAACTAGATGATCTTAAGGTCCTTTCCAACCCAAGCTATTCTATGATTTTATGGAAGCTAAACCGATTTATTGCATTTGAATGTCCTATTCTAGTATCTGTTCTTCCACTAGAGGGACACTATCTAGTATATGTTCTAGTATCTGTTTTTCACTTCTTTATTTTCTCATCTTGCTAAGGGTAACACAGAGTGATTTTATGAAGGATGTTTTGGGAAATTTTGGGAAACAGCAGTTAAGGGATTTAATTCAACACAGATTTCCAATGTTAAGTATGCTGGTGATGTGGAGTTATTTTAGTTACAAAAGTTGTAGCTAAGTAAACACTCTTGTGTTGTGCAAGCTGAAAAAGAAATCAAAGCTATAGCTCTGCCTTTCTAAAGTGATGGCTCACACCCTACAGTCTATATAGACACCGTTATATAAACTGATGAATTTAAAAGAAATTGGAGGTAAACAAGGAGTATTAACTTAATTCATATCTACACTCAGAACACAGAGCAGGAACACACTTCTTCACCATTTCAAAGAGTAAAAGGGTCTCTGATAAGTCTTGTTTGCTTCTGGTATTTCAATTTTAGTTCTGGGAATTTCTGTTGCCTGGCAAATCATAGCTTTTTTTTTTGTTTGTTTTGTTTTAGTTTTAAGAACATGAGGTTATCGATCCAATCTCAGCAGAGATTAGCTACAACAGGAAAAGAAAAGGAGAAATGAGGGGCAGATGCATGAATAAACCAGAGTTACTCTATCAAATTTACCGCATCCATCAAGCGAAAAAAGGAAAAAATATTATCTACTATCTGTTAATGCTGCTTATGAGTCCTTTGGGATTTAAAATTGTTATTTTAAGGTTACAACTCCTTGTGATCTCTTCTTTGCTCTAACATCTGTCTCTCCTTCGTAATTTATTAATTTAGGTGGTATCAGGATATTTTGAATGTTGAGACATATATACGTCACAAATATGCAGCCCTGTTCTGAAAGGAAAGATTATTTCCTAAAACCAAATCCTATAGGCTTAAAGTGAAGCATGTTGGAGAAACATAATATCACCAAAGAACATTTAAAGTAGAACTTCAGTGTGAAATATTTGTATATGCCAAAATTATTCTTGCTTGCATTTTGCAACTCCAAAGTTTTTCTGATCTGCAGGTACTCTGTAAGTGAATGTCAACTCCTTGCACATGCAGTGAATACTTGTTATCAACAGACTGATCCTTCAAATGGGCTGTGTCTCAGACCGCAGGCTATTCAGTACTATCTGTTGAAAGAAATCGATGACATTCAAACTGGAAGTATACTTTGTGAATATCCCTTTTGAGAGATACAAGGAAGACATTAGGTCACATTAGTGTGCGCTTTTAGGAGCTAATTTACAAAAAATAACTTAGTAGAGTTAGTGAGTTATAGAGTTGTCAGGTGCTCAAGATAAAAATAAGCCCAAACAAAACAGAAAACTAAGTACAAAACTGGAGAGCACAGAACAAGCCGTAGCCTGACTGTAATCAGAATAGAGCAAAGTGCTCTTCGGCTTCCAGCCCAGGAGGAGCTTTCACTACCAGAAGGAATGGTACCTGATGCTGACGAAAGAACAAGGGGACCTTGGGAACAGTAAGCCCTGTGAATTAAACTTCATTTATTCCTCGGCTCTCCGTGGGAGAACAAATAAGAATGAATAAAAACCATACAGGCTTCTTCTCTACACCAACTCAACCTGTGCAGAGATGCCTCCTGCCGAGTGACAGGGCCCATGTTTGAGAGGGAGAGACCTTACTAACATTGTACAGCCAGTTGTGTACCAATACTTGCCTATGCAGTATTTACTTGTGGGGTAAAGCTAGATACATGTCACTGGAGAGTCTCATCAAACCTGGATGTTTGATCTATCAAATCTCGGCTTTTCTTTTTTTGCTAGACAAGACCCTAAATTTTTTAAAGAAGAAAGTGTCTCGTGAACTGCTGAACGAATGATAGACCTCCAAAGAACAGAGAGAATAAAAGAAAGAATATTTAAATTACTTCTAAATACTTTTGCTAGATTTTTGAAGCAGTATTTTATGCCGTTATACAATGGCATCAGTAAAACTGATCATCCTAACAAGTCTAAGTTCTGTATGTACACATTGAAAGCATAACTAAAATCTTCACAGCTACTTCTGTATGTATGTGTGTACAGGTATGACATATTTCCAAGTAGTCCCATTTGAGTATGACAAACTCCTATTCGAGATATCCAGTACGTAAGTTGCTCATAGGAAGATAGGTTCAAAACTGAAATGGTGTGCTCTCATATGAATGAATATGAAAAACACAGCATGTTTTCTATGAAGGCTTATATGAAGATTCAATACAACAGAAAAATACTAAGACATTAAAATATGATTTTAAGTATTATTTCTTAATTTTTTAATGTCTTATGAAGGGTTTGTAGTTTTCACCAAATAAACTAATCGTCAAGTAAAATGTAGGTGTGTTTTCACGTGAGGTCACTTGACACTAGAACTAAAGAAGTGTAAAAATTCTGCTCCATTAAAATGGCTTTTTTACAGCTCTCTCCTCTCCACTCCTCTTCTGTCCTCTCCTTTCCTCTCCTCTCCCTTCCTTTCTTCTTTTTGCACTGGGATAGTTATGCAAACTGAAGCACAATAGTAAATCTTTAATTCCTGAAAGAAAGTTTAAGACCTTTCCTTGAAAAAGGCTTTTATGGAAATATTGGAAGAGTAATTAATGTAGAAAAGGAAAAAAAATCTTGCTCCTTTAATTTGAAAGGCTTTAGTTGTACCATCACACAGGTCAATTGAAAGGTATAATAATTTTAAATACAATATGTTTCTGTATTACACAATTGTTAGGAAGTACAAAGGTGTGTGTAGAATAGGGGTATGGCAGTGAAATACAGAAGCTGTCACTCCAGAAGCAGAAACACTGGCAGATTATTCCTTAGGCCAGAGCGAAGTGAGTGGAAAATTTACTCATCCAAAAGACATTACCCTTTCAAGTGTGGTTGCTCATCATCTACTGAGTCACGTTTGTTTTCATGCAGATCACTCTCAATATTGATGTATTCATCCTCCTGGAAAACAGATCAGTGCCAAGGCAGTGAGAGAGGTGCATGCTTGATAAGTAAGGTACAAAACCCCAGATACCTGCTGGCAGATGGCTGAAGCAGTCTCAAGGCCTTTCCTTCTTCACTGAGCACTTGGCTCCAGCTCTCCTGTTTGCCACCAACACTGTGGTAAGTGTGAGTCAAGCCCAGTGATTAGACTGTGGCTATGAACTTTCCCAAGCCATCCGCACCATTTTGACAGGGGAAATAAAGGCAGGAGGAAAATACCAGTGTTACTGAGAACTGAAGAGGGAATCACACAGACTACCACTGTATACACACCGAAAAGTGAGAGCTGCAGGTAGGGGTGGCAGAGCTGTCAATTAGCCAGCTTGCCCAGAACCTCCTATTGATGACCCTCTCTTTTTGTTGCTTCTCTCTTTGCAGAATTTTAATAAGGTGGAAATTTTATATATGGAGGATGATTGAATTACAGGGGAGAGCAGCTTAGTGTTTTAAAAATTTAACTAAGCCAATAAATCTATTCTTAAGAAAAGCTGCTGAGAGAAGGGAACAGGTAACAAACCTTTAAAGAGAGCTGTCATCCATCTGCTAGCTTTGTAGCAGAAACTTGATGTTTTCATCAGAACACCCCTTTTTACTACCTGAATCCACATAAGCCTGGCTGCATTAAGGCTTTTGAACAACTGCAGCTTGACCTCCACCATGATAGAGGACTGTCCTTGGGGCAGCTAGGAACGGCACGGCCCCTGAAGCCACTCAGCACATGCCATGCCCACCTTGCATTACTTCCCCTGTCCAGGTCCAGAAGGGCAGAGGCAAAGTGTCTATCCCATAGATACATACCTCCACATTCGTGGCAGGGCCCATGGAGGGCCTGGTGACACAGGGCAGGCAACTTTTGGATTCAAAGGAAGCAGCATAACCACACATAGCCCTTGAGCCACACTCACACCTCCTTGTTTTAATGCTGTGCCAGGACAGCATGACCAGTGGCTTGCCCTTGGATGTCCCACCAGCACCGTGGTGATGGCAGACGGTGTTTCCCTGCCTTCTGGAGGGGAGCTGGCCCGCTGTGCCCAGCCAGTGGGAGTGGTGGCAGGCTGCAGGTGAGCTTGCCTTTTCTTTTTCTGTCACTATCATTTGTGCTAACTACATTCCCCAAACTCCTGTGTGAAGCAAGGCCCACCATGGATCCTGCCCTGGTCCCTGCTTTCCATCTGGCTTTCCTGCTGCAGGTGCCACCGAAAATCCTGGAAAGCCCTAAGTTAGTTCCTAGTGAGAGGCTCGAACCAGCTCAAAGGCAAAGTTAACGTAAGATGAGTAATGAAAATGTTGCAAAGGAATATGTACGTCGAAGCTGCTACTCATTCCCCTAGGAGAAAGCTCAATGTGACACGTACAGGAGCCTCAAGTCCTCTTGACTGCAGTTTTTGGAGGTGGAGAGGGGGTGGAAGTTGTGTAGCTCTCTGAAACTGCACTGTAACTTATGGCTGCATTTTCACTAACCTTAATTTCTGTCTCTCTGGTCTTGACTATGACATAAAACAAACCTGAAAAATGTAGATGCTGCCAACTAGGAGCATTCTTCTCAGTGTCTGTAGGAGGTGGGCTTTTTACCTGAGGGACACTGGGTGCTGATAGTATTGAAATATCATTTATTCCTGGGCTTACATTTGAGGTATATTGCATGCAGGTGCTTATCACAGATTTTTGAACCTACATTATAAATGAGGATAGCCCAGCCTTCTGGGTTGAAAAGCCATGCTTTCATGTGTGCAGGCTTCTGCCTTAGTCACAGTGTGCCTGAGAAAGGGTCAATGTGGGTATACGTGTCTCTACTACACTTGCACAAAACAGTGGCTGAACACTTTCACCTGAATCTTTCTAGTGGAAAATAGGTTTCTTTAACTAAAATGAAGCTCTAATTGACTGCAACTACTTTTCTCTGTTTTTAAAGTTTCAATCAGTTTCTTTTTTCTTTTTGTTTTGACATTTTCCTTTTTGTTGTCTTTTGAAGAGGAAGGTATAGGTACTGTCTACCGCCATCTTCTCTGAGGATCTCAGATCCTGGTCTAGCTCACTGGAGTGCATACCAGAACAGTCCAAGTGGTCCTTTCCATCACTGTAAGTCTGGAATCACTTCAGCTTTGGGAGCAGAGGCATTTCTTTTACAGCATGCCTTTGCTGCCTCTATATCAAAAAAACCCACTGGAAGATAGAAAAGAATATCCACAGCATTAGGAAAGCTCTATTTCTTATGTATTGCTTCAAGGACCATCACCAAACTTGGCAAGCAGATATGATTACAACAGCAGAAAGTACTAGAAATTTTTCATGGAACTTTTAGGGTATCAGGCTGCAACTTGAGTGTGGATTTGAAAATATTGATACATGACACTAGTAAAATATCTGTGGGGATTTTTACCCTGACTTTCATGTCTTCATAGTGAGCTATTCACTATGGTGGCTTAAAAAAATGTACAGTCAAAAGAAGTCAAAATGGATGCGTTTCTTATGAAATAATCTGTATTGTATTCTCCTATACTTTGTCTGGTTGGTTGTAAGTCAGAGCTGCTGCCTCCAGTTTGTGTTTGTCGAGAAATTTCCCTTATTTTGAATGAATAGGTATTTAATAAAATGTATGCCCTGCCTGAAAGATTGTGTCACTAAACACAATGTTTCCACCTTCTCTTTCTCCAACTCTCGGGAAAAAATGCTCTATATCAACTTGTCATCCATGGTATTCTCTCTGATCACCGTATCTGATGCCTCTTTTTTATCTTATATGAAGGAGTTATGACATTAGAAAACATTTTTCTGAATCCTCCACATCCTGTCAATTTTCTGTGTTTTTTCCTTATTTCTGAGAACAGATCTCCCTTCTCTGTCAGTTTATGAATTTTAAATCAAATCCAGGCTTTCTAAAAATATATATATATCTTGGAAGTATTATCATAACCCATTGCTGAAATTGAATGTGAGGTTTATAAAGTTTCATAAGGTTATTTGAAACAAAAAAAAAAAAAACCAACAAAAAAGCCTAACCCATACCTGGTTAATATGTACAGTTTTCTTATTTTCTGAATTCTTGCTTCTCTGTAAATTGTCTCCAGGACCTTTCGTATTTGTAACATCCACACCTTCGCTGTCGCTCTGGGTTGTGACAAGACCAGAAATTGTATTGGTTCAAATCAAAAGCCAAAAGCCTTTTTTCATATGCAGAACTGATTTATACTCTGATGCCTGTGCTTCTATGTTTTAATTCACTAATACAGGGACCCTGCAACTCATTGTACAAAGCTCAGGTGTTCAAGTCCTTGCACTGTTACACAAACCTGCATCTGCCATGGGTGCTGCTTAGCTACTGTGAATCTGCTGTTTTCTTGACCGAAACACATGCTTTGCCTCAGCACTGGTTCAACAAGTTTACAAAGATCTAGCCCTCCCTCCACCAATGGCAGAAGGGCCTATCTGGGCTTTCCCCAGCTTGTTAGTACCTTTGCTCCAGTATATATGCTCCTTATGCTTATACAGTAAATACGCATCTTTTAAAAAAGATGTGCTTTTACTGCTCTTGGAAACACATGGAGTATCTTTAAAGAGAGCAGCTAGCTTTACTGCATTAGTTGTAGGTGGTATACCTACAGAGTTGATGACAGCCATAATCAACTCCACTATTTGTACTAGTATTATTATCATTAATATTAGTTTTCTTGTTTCTTAAAGTTTTGAAGAGTACATTATTTCTTTACAATGATCCTTGAAGGGCTGGTTCTTATTTTGCTTTTGTAAGAAAGCTTCTTAAACTAAACGTTAAATATCCACAATTGATATAAACTAATAATAAATGTTTTATATCTCAGTGGTTTGTTATGGCAGCAGTTATGGTACAGTCATTTCACAGTGTCTTATTGCACGAAGTATCTCATTACTTACATGTTAATAAAACCAGTAAATGAGTATCTACATTTAGCCTTCTAAGAAAACTATCATTTCCAAATGAACAATACAAAATAAACTTAATCATATAAAATTATGATAAAGGCAGGAATTGGCAGTACTGCTAGACGTAATTTAAATTTTGCCTTTTGATGGGAATATGACCAATGGAAGCAATCAGGGCACTTCTCAGTAACATATTCTCCTTAAAGATGTTCTGCCTCTAAACTTCACAAAAAATTGGTTTCAGTAAAAGTGTTTCTGCAACCTTGTGTGTCTGGTGGAAGAGGAAGGATTTGCAAGAAGCTGTTGATTAATCTGCTGTGGCCCTGATAAACCAGATGCTAATATATCAGTTCCCTTCCTTCTAAGAGAAGTGTAACACTGCATTCCTTTCAGAGGAAGGTATTTCTTTATCAAAAAGCATCTCTCTAACTCTTTGTCTTCTAACCATGATGTATTTATTAGGAGTCTGTCGTAGCTGTCCCTGCAGTTGACAGTGAAAGCCTTTACCAAAAGCTCCATAAAGAGCAAAAAAACATTCATCACAAGAAGCAGTGCTTAACTGTAGCATTGAGATACATTAAAAAGACAACATAGTGAAGATGGAGTGGCACAGTTCTGTAATTGACACACACACACCCATGGGATAGTCTCTTTGAAGATTTCTATATTTGTTGCTGAGCCAGAAAAAACAGAGATTTCTTCGGACTTTTTCAGCAAACGTGAAACCCAGTAAGCATCTACAAAACAGCTGCTGTCTAAAAACAATGGAAGTACAGAAATTGGAAGAAACCTCTAAAAGTCACTTTGCCCAACCCACTGCTCAACTGCAATAATTACATAATTTCTAGAAAAATTAAAATATATGAATGTATGAGTAATGTAGCAGAAAACTAGTAAGAGCATGACGTGACTGGTGGAACTCTAAATAGCTCACACTGCAGAATGATAGATTTGTGTTATTTTCTGCAAGCATAAACCCCACTCATTTCAGCTCATCATAACACATTTCTGGTATACTCCAGATTCAGTAGAAACTGGCTAATTACTATTGATAGCAAGTTAACTTCAGTAAGAGACTACTTCCGTTGACTAAAACAGCCATTAAATGCCATGAAGCCAAGTAATTCTTACATTTCATAGCTGATTCTTGAACTATAATGTCTTCATCCTCCCCTTTATACATTGGTTTTTGTATTGTTTATTTTATAACATGCTTTGTTAACATGTTTAATGCATGTTATTTAACCCTACCTCTTGAAGAAAAAAAAAAAAAATCTTCTTATAAGAATAGCAGTATTACGTAACAAATAAAAATACCTATTCCCTTTTCCTGTTTGCGTAGAGTCTTTCTGAGTCTGCTGAAGGAACATCGTGCCAAAATGTCAATTTGCCTGTGTTTATCACCTGCTGTTGCAAATTTCTACCTAAGCACCCAGCCAGAAAGCTTCTACCTCGTTTGCACAGTATCCTTTTCCACATTCCTGGAAATGTCTGTAGAACAAAGCATCACAACAGAAAATGGGAGTTCAAGCCTTGGAGACTGTAGCTAGCACAGCCCTGATATGAGTACAGGCCAGATCAAGCAATATGCCATGTCACTTCTGAACCTACTCAGTCTGTAGTGTCATAAGGAAGCAGGAAGTTAAAACCAAGTAAGTGGAGCTTGCAGGGGAAAATTCTCTTCCCCTTAGGCCACACTTGGAGTATTACAGAATCGATCCATCTGTTTTGAATGTTAGCAATCTGAAAAGTGTTACACAGTTGCACTTCTGATTTCACACTCTGCTGCACTTTTACTGATTGAAATTTCCTGCTTCTAAAGGGTTTGATTAAACGGCAAGGGCATGGGTACTTGAAAGTGAAGTGTTTGTTTAGTTCCCTCTAGATGGGCAGTTCATTTGCCAAGTCTTTTTGCACCACTACATTCTTTGACCTTCCCTCCTGTGTCCTCCCAGCCTTTTGAAGGAGGGATTGGTTTTGTAAAGAGGGTGTAACTTCCGTGGGTTGTGCTTCTAACAGCAGCACACACTCTTAGAGTAGATGGTTTTCCCCCCCTGCCAGTTAGTGATGAAAACAGATTGGCTATCAGAGCATTCAGACAGCTCCTTAAACTGTTTATGGTTTAAGAATGGGCCATTACATTAGCTTTGGAGATTAGAATCAGGGTACTTAAGGAACTCAGTGAAAAACACATGCTTCAAAGCAAATGTTTTAAGCTACCATGCTGGATTTCATTGGATTTCAGGTTGCATTTAGTGCACTGAAATGAAGCCATATGGTTCACTGTTCAAAACTTTGCTATTCTTTTAATATTCATTGTAATCGAAGACCATTCATCTAAGTTTTCCCTCATATACTACCTTTTGCTAGTCAGAGTGACAAAATTCTGAACTAGTTAAAAAGCATTTTAAATATGGATAAAGAAATCTTTTGATCAATAATCACAGCATTCATAAATTCCTGTCAAATGATAAAATTCAGTGTAAGGGTTGAGGGATGAATGCTCATTATCCGTGTGTTAAACTACAGTAAATGAGCTGTTGGGACAGCAGATAAGAAACATGTACTGCCAGATTAAATTCAGCTGGATAAATCTTCATGAGGTGTTTTGAAATGGGTTGTAAATTAGGCTCACCCACCTCTGAGTACACTAGTGTTTTCTTTAAAAGCTTAGGTTGTCAGTCTCGAGTGGGATAGTTGGATAGTATCCTGAAATGTAGGATAAACAAGTTAAAATGATAGACCGGCAAAAGCCGGCCATAAAAAAATAAATAGGAAATCCGTTTGCTCTCAGAGCAAGTAAAATGCATCAGAGGCAGAAAGCAAAAGCCAGAAAATATAAAACAGGAAAAAAGGTCTGCACATTCCTGAGAAGATAAAAAGGTGCACATGACCTCCGCAGTTAATGGCATTCAAAACATCTATTGGTGGCAAGCAGGAACACAATGAGAATGACAAGGACAAGAATCATAAAAACTTTTTTGCAAGGAATGTTTTCTTAGCCTGAGAGGAAAAGAGCTTAAAGGTATGACTAATTTTCACTGCTTCCTGTAAGAGGCGGGGTAGAATGTCACAGTTAAATTATTAAAAAAACAAACCAAAACCTAAAACCCAAAAAACATGCTTTAGAAAGCAAGTTTAAAAAATGTGGAAAAGGACTGCATACTTTCCCTTGTGTATCTGATGGAGTTACGCAGTGCAATGCCTTCCTAATTTCCAAGAGAAATTACAACAATGATGCAAATGAAATGTAAATTCTTAATAGTGCCTATAGGCTAATTAACCAACCAGACCAAAGTACCTAGGAAGTTCTGGAGGATGGAGATAAACACATAAATATATGGCATTTTTTATGATATGTTATAAGCTTGTTTGAATGAAATGGAGTACAAAAGTTGCATATATTATGGCAATACCAATGTCCTTATGTAGCATGAGTAAAAGGCAGAATTTTAAAGGGCATCCTTTCTCAAGTCAGTTTCTTAAGAGCATGGTGTGCTCTGCTGCAGAAACAAGGACTGACTGTTTAATGCATCATAACACTGACCATAGGGGGCCATTGAACAATAAATATTTATTAGCTGTTACCTTCCCTTTGCATTGTATTTATTTTATGTTTATTTCTGAGTTCCTTTTAAAAATCAGGGATTTTTTTCATCCCACCTACCGTTCCTTTTTATGAGACAGCTCTTATCATTCCTTGAGGAATAAGTGTGAGTTGTTGTTTAATGTCATCATTAGCAGAGATCTGAATCATCAGAACTGATTAGGTAAAATCTTTGCCTCTTAAATGATGGCTATACACAAGCTAGGTAAATCCAATCTCAGTTTTAGGGTTACTGTTAACTGTTGCAGAGTTTCTGAGCAGGAAATTCTGTGGGCAACAGTAGTGATCCTCCAGCTGGTGCCATCAGGGAGAAGTTAACTGTACCACATTGAATGCAAGAGGCACAATATTGTTTCTAAACATTACATATGGCATTATTACAGATATAGACACAGAATGTATTACATTGGCATGTAGACACTAAACATGGACAATCTTTGGAATAGCAATGAGAGTCTGAAGATAAAGGTTTAGGTTCCTTACACTGCATGACGTAATTTAAGGGGATAAAAACTATTAAACCCCTGAATGTCTCTGTATAAATAGTCTGGCAATCTGTTGATTCTAGCCTCTGTGATGCAGTGAAAATCCTGTATCACTAGAAAATCTTTCTGTG